GGGTCAACGCTCCGCCCCTCCCTCCTGCGCCGCCAGGGGGCGCCCGCGGGCTGCAGGAGCGCCCCTCCACCCGCCCCGCCCCTTTCCCTCCGCTGCTGCTTCTGTGCGAAGGGTGCGCTCCAAATTATCTCCGACATTAAAAAAAAAACATCAAAAAGCTGACTATTTTGATGCAGTCTTACAGCCAGCAGGAAGGGAAGCAGTCCCGGATTCACTCCTGACAGAGGCAGGCCCTGCTAAGGGGATAAAATACTGAATAATCCCCGCGGCGCTTTAAAGCAAAACTCTTGCACCGATAAAAAAAATACAGGGAGTAGGCTCAGCGCAAGTTTTCACTATAAAGAGAAACAAGGTGGGATTAAAATTAAGAAAGTGCATTCTGAGCTCATTCAAATGATAGAATCATAGCATGGTTTGGGTCGGAAGGGTCCTTCAAAGGTCATCGGGTCCAATGCCCCTGCAAGGGACATCTTAAACTCTGAGCCCCATCCAATCGGGCCCTGAACGTCTCCAGGGATGGGGTTAAAGTTCAGAATAAGACTTTTCAGAAATGTGTTTTTTTGAGAGCATGCAAGCTGTCCTTGCACAAACAGGACATGGTGAGTTGTTCTAACTGAAGAAACTCATTCACCAGCAACTGCCGATCTGCAGAGCACAAGGCAATGCCTTTGCAATGAGCTAACCTGCTCCTTTTCTCTGCTACAAACAGGCAAGTGAAATCTTGAAAGTTTACACACGAGGATTACTCTGAAAGTAACTGTTTACTTTGCTCTAAAGCCAGCTTCGTACAAAACATCAGGTGCAAAACCTGTGCTGAAACCAGCACCAAATTGAACATCCGTCCTTAGCTGGGCACCTACAAGCCTTATTGTGAATGAGCATTTCAGCACTGGCCTGAATCAAAAATCTTTATCCAAGTACCACTAAAATACACATGCTTGACATTGCAAGAAGAAGCCTTTGAGAGAAAAATTACTAGTGACTGTAATTTTCCTCTTACTTCACATTAAACAAATTCTTACCGCCATTTCACTCACAGCAAGGTTCACAGACAGCATACTTGTTCCTTTCATGTGTAATCACAGTTTCTTTTTTCTTAATGCCACCTCTGTATACCATAGAAACAATAAGCCAAGAGCCAAGCACGTTATGCCTTTGTTTTGCTTGGACAGAAAGAAAAATAACCTGAACAATTTAGCAACAGAAGAAGGGTGCATACAAAAATGATATACATGGACTTTTTGACCAACCTGTTTCCAGAAGTCAAAAAGACGAGGGTCATCCACGACAGCTGAGAGAAGCAAGGAGAACTACTAGGTCTACTGTGTACTGCTATTTCTTAGCCCTTTGTCAGTCTCTCTTTCAGGGAGCTCAAAACATAGATCTATTTTAGGAGATGCCATACCACACAAAAATACCCCACCCCAAAGCTCCCATCTCCTTAACTGTGTTTCCAAAATACGATATTGCTGGAATTCTCTTTTTGAGGGGAGGCATAGGTATTTGTCAGCATAACCTGTAACTGACACTGCATGCTTTGATCTTTAAAATGTACTGAAGTTTGCGAATAAAAAACATCTGTAACAAGTTTCTGAATGCATAAATTCCTTTATTGAAAATATTGTGATAGCACTGCATTACATATATTCAATATTCATAGTTTCAAGGGTCACATAATTTTGATTGAACACCACTGTTTCGAATATAGACCACAGCGTTTAGATATGCTCTGACAAGAATAATATAATGGAGTAAGTTGTAGGTAGCGATAGTGAAATGCACGTAAAATGTTGAACTTGGTTGGTTTCGGGGTTTTTTTGGTTGGGTTTTTTAAATTTTTTTTTTCAAACTATTAAGTGGTTTGCCATCATTTAAAAGACCAAACAGTACTAGATACTCCTGGTATCTCCAACGCATTATGCTGTTAGCAACTCCCAAAATATTTTACAGCATTACCAATAAGAACTTTATTTACGGCTGTAGTAGACCACATAGAAGGGAAGCGTGAAAAGCTCAGGTGCAGCGTGTTACAGGCTTACTGTATGTAGCATTGGTTTTTCGACTGTGAAATTTCTGTGCAGGATTAAGATTTCGTGATGCTTTTGAAAGAAAACCACTTGGCTGCTTTTTTTTTTTTAATCTATTCAAAAAGGAAAGAGCAGTAACTAAATTGAGCTGTATTACTCAGTTAATAATATTCCAAAATTAGACTGTACTGTTTAAAGCAGGGAAGCACACTCTACCGTTCCTAAAACCTGCCTTTCTCGGGACACATTCGAGCATAAGGGCAGGACAGCGTTGGCTGGGTCTGGGTTGTGTAAACAAAACCACAGCTTTTTGGGAAAGCAGAATTCTTCGGTGAACAGCGACCACTGCCACTCCTCTGTCACACTCTCCCTGTTTACCCACATTCTCATTTTGTAACATGCGGTCTTTTCAGTGTTGAGGGGGGGAAAGGGAAAAGTCTCTGATTATTTAATGAAAAACAGAGGAGAATATTTAGTTGCCTGTCAAACCCTAAGCCAGCCTGTTGCTTCAAGTCTTTTCCGGGAAGGAAATTACTACAAAAACAAGTATTACACTGACATGACCTGGCCTGTTAGGGAAATAGCATTCTTCTCTAAACCTCAATTGTATTTGCCCCTTAACAAAGCAGTTATTCTTCAATTTGTAGAGAAACACTCAGAAAAGCACAGTGGGTGGCTTATTTTGAATCATTTGGTGGCGACAGAGAAAAACAATCCTCTCTTAGAAATGTCCTTTGTAAACAGTCAGATAACACCAGGGCAGATGCTCAGAGTACGCTGTCCCAATTCTGTGGACTGCAATGGAGCCGACAAAGTCTATACCAGGTGGCAGTTTGCCCAGTGTCTCAATACACTGCCACAATAATAATCTATTAACAGGAATGTGGCAGCAGAGTTAATAAGAAGCACTATCCACCTTCTCCTTCATTCCAGAAAAAAAACCAAAACTAAACAGAATTATGCACTCAAGTGTTTCTGCCAGAAAACAAACCCTCTAATTAGGGTAAAATGAAAACCAAATCTCATTTATAAAATAAAAATATAAAAATTAACTTCAGAAATCAAATAAATTGATTCAGATAAATGGCAATGCATAAGAATCCTACCTGAACAGCAATTATTTATCAAACTGAGATTTGAAACATTAAAGAAAAAACTCATAGCTAATACATTTACAAAAAAAATCTGCTATACAATAACAATAAATAAAAAGATTTTACAAACATGTTCCCTTAAGTGCTGTGTACACCTATTTGTGATTCTTTTCCATGGCAAACAGTATGCTGTAGATTTTGGTAAAGTAACCTTTTATTTTTGGTTAGCATTTTTACGTTGAACATAAATACACATGGAATGGACTAGATAGTCATGGTTTTCCCACAGGATCTTTTTCACAGTTACAGAAAAGGCTTTCAACTTATACACCATGAATGTTTTCATAAGCATCATGTCTTCGATGGAGGAGTGCTGGAGGAGGAAGTAAAAAAACACTTCAGACTGACCTCTTGCTATTCTCTTACTGCCTCTCAAAACCAGCTTTGTTTTTCTTGGGTTGTCTGTTTGGGGTTTTTTTGCGTAGTCATGCTCTGGTACAAACTTGAGGAGAAAGCATGTAATGTTGTGAGGCAGCCTGCACCTTCTAGTTAGCTTTTAAGTGCCTAATGGATCCAGTTCTTAAGGCAGTCAGTATTTCATTCAAATGTCCATACTTCTACGTCCTGTATTATGAAATCCTCTTTCTTAGATAAGATGTCATTATTGAAGGTGCTGCAGGAGTTGCTTCGCCCGTGATACAAATCTGCATCTAACCACAAGCCAAACCGGCCACTATAGAGGAAATAAAAACAAATTTCAGGTCACATACAATAGTGAAAATACTGGAAGCTGTAGAAACAACCAGAGGAGTGATATGGAGGAACCTGGCTAATTCTGAGGACCTCTTACACCGAACGTGACGAGCATAACCCTGGCAAAGTCCTTGCCAAGAAGCCTGCGGAGCAGTCCCCTCACTTCTGTTTGCACCAGCAAGCAGGGACAAGCACAGGACTGAGGGTGCATCCGTAGCCCAGTGCCACTCGGCTGTTTGCACAGTCACAGCCACAGTGGCGAACACCTGGACACAGACATCGGGGTCTCTTCCCCAGCTGTCCGGGTGCAGATCTGACCTATTCTAGTTTAGGAGGAGGAGGGGTGTTTATACACTCTCGATGCAACCCTTGCCCAGATGTCCCGTGGTGCAGCCTGCAGTCAGTTTTAGTTACTCCTACAGCCTTAGCCCTCGATTTCATGCCCACCGACCTTTGAAATTTAAGACCTGATTAAGCACCGTCTGTGTCCTTGCTCTGTGTATCAACACAATAGCGACAATTTAGTAAGGACCATGTGAGAAACCTTAGAAGCTGAGGGCAAAACTGCCATTAGAGATTATCTTCCAGTAGCAAACCTCTTCAGCAATGAGATATGTATATACCCAAAACATCTGTGTTTTTCCTAGCCGAAACAAACCAAACCAAACTAACAAACCCTACTTGCCTACCATCAGTCATTCTCTTTAAGCAATAAAAATTGCTGCGTCTACAACAGAAATCAGATTGCTGAGGTATCTACCCTAAACAGTTTACTAAAAGTATGTTCAGCCATTTTACTGATTAGTTTTTCTTGCAAGTACCATTGTCCCTATTCTCATTTAAAAAAAAAACAGCTAGATGATTTGAAGATCAAACATTCACTCACCCTCCACCTCCAAGCTCCAGAGAGCTGGTGTCTCCGTTGATGAAGTAGGTGTTCTCTCCACTCCATTTGAATACCTGAGGAAGAGGAAAAAAACCCAAAATATTTTGGACTGTGAGGATTCTTCTACTCTAAAACTACTGGGGAACAACTCTTAGAAGGTGTTTCTTGGTGTGGTCATATTTTATTATTTTTTTCTTGAAGAGGAAGGAGGAAGAGGTAATAGGCAGAAAGTAACAGAACAATACATATTTAAAACTATGAACAAGGGATCCTTATCCTTTTAAAAATTCTGCTTGCATCTCTAAATCAGCAGGTGTTCTGTTGAAGGAATAATGTGTGAAAACTGCATAAACCATGAACATTAAGGGGTATTATTTCAGTCGCACTCTTTTCTCTGGTTTGTTGTCACTGTGATCATAAGCACGTGTGAAATTAAACCCTGTTCTTAATATCACTGCTTTCCAAGGTGAGTCTTTGACAGTTCACTCCTTACTCTTCCTGCTTTCCCCCTCAAATCCATTTAAAGCCCTCTCCTCACCCTTACAGACTGTCCCCTCAGCACTTCAGATAATTACAGCCACTTTAGCTTAAAGCATTGCACTGAAGCAATGTGTGATTAACTGTATTCACCAACAGCCAGCACACCTTCTAAACTCAAATATGCTGTCTTCATAAAAATCTCATAAATGTTTCAGACGTGGAACCCAAACATCTTACTTGAGAAAGTGAACACCCACTTACCTTGAAATTTGGACTGAATGTGTAGAGGAATGTTTCACCAGTGCCGTAGTAGTGGTCACTAAACCTGAAGGGATGTGTAGCATACGCTCCAAATATCTGTCAGAATAAAATGATTAAAATGCTTTTGAGGACAGTGGAAAGTTCTAGATGAAAAAACTCCAGACATTTCAAAATACTTTCTAAGGAATAACTGAGCTGGTGTTTCATGTTAGAAGAACCAACTAGTAAAGTACATCAGATGAGCAAGTACTCCTGCAAATCTTTTGTACCCAGCAAGTTACAAGCCAGATGACAATGGCAACAGAAATGCTGACTCTAGGAGCTACTGAAGTGCTAGACCTCCACAGAGGCATTATTTGTGACAGCTCATTGAGATACCTAAGGAAGACACTTCCATGGGCACTATTAAAAGGAGCACTCATTGCAACTATGAAGCTGGAAGGGGTGGTATTTCTATTAGTGCTGATGTACCTTCCTGTCTGTAAGTTTAGTTTGAGCGGTAGAAAATATAAAAGAAAATACCAACGTCTTATCTTGGTATGATGTCACTTCATGGTACGGCTAGCACTTCAAAATGATCACTTTTTATAAGGTTGCCCATTCAGTCCAACCCCCGCAGAGCATGCACACCTTACCTGGTTGTCCATATCCTTGATGACGAGGAGAACCGGACTGTCGAGAGATGCCGATTTGCGGTACAGAGTCTTCAGGCTGGTCCCGTGCTCCAGCGTGCTGTACGCGAGCCGCCACGGATAACCCTGCACTCGTGCAGGCAAGCGCCGGGCAAGCTGGGCAACGAACGGGGGAAATGGTTACATATTCAACAGGTTAGGTGATAAGTGGTGCCCCAAACTATTCCCTTTCTGCGGGGGCTTCTGAGCCAAAAAATGGCTCTTAAAGAATGTCAGCAGCTTTACATTTTCACCACACACATGTGGCCTTGTGCTCTGAGCCCAACTGTTTGCATTCACACCATCTGTGAAACAGATTTCTAAAGTGGCACCACGCTCTCTGAGCACTGAAAGAGCTGCCAGTCCTCAGTATCACAACCCAAACTCCAGAGGAGCAAAACATAAAAATCAGCTTTCCAGGTAAGTCACTGTCACAGTGAACAGGACCTTGCACAAAGACACTCCAACATACTAAGTACTTTCCAAACTCTTAAAAAGCACTGGCATTGCCTCCAGGAGATAGAATGTCCCACACTTGGCAGAGACAGCACCACAGTTAACAAGGAAACACAAGGTTTTTCTAGCTGTACCTGCTCTATGTGCATGTTCTCCAGGAGGGCGCTGTGATGCTTTAAGACAGGCAAAGTATCATCATCTTCTTCTTCATAGTAACTGCAAACACTCTTCCGTCGTTTTGCTTCTTCTACAGTAATGATCTGCGGCAAAAGAAGTATCCGATCTAAAGCACAGCTCTTATGCTGTCAAGAAAATTAATTTAAACCAACATACTCCTCAGCTATCACACTGTGTGGGATCGTTGTATCAACCACAAGCAGCCTTAGTCAAATAGGGAAGTTCTTAACCGGCAAGGTGTCTTTGAGACAGCATGGCCAGAATTTCTCCACACCCCACAGCTCCCACAGCTGTGGAGCTCTTTGGAATTAATAAACATTGGGGTAACCAGGTGACATCATGTGGATGCTCTCAGACATAGCTGGTCCCAAGTCAGAAGGTTGAAGTGCACCTGCTTCTGAGGCACACTACATGCATCTGAACTAGATGTCTTGTGGGAGTCTAAATGAGGAGGACACAGAAGCATCTTTGTTCTCCCTTAAGCACTAGTTGAGTACATAAATTGTTTTCTCAGGTGCCAATGCATGAGAATATGAAAAAGTTTAAAATTTCACTTCTTTTTATTAAAGTAGCAGCTTTTTCCTGGTTTTCTTCACTGACTCAGACATGGTTTTGTGCATCCAGCTTACAGAAGTTCTTGAAAATACTCATTCTGAGAGTCAAAGTCTTTATAAAATACATTCTTAGTTGAAAATGATCAAGCAGCTCTTTGGAAACTTCTATTTATTCCTTTGCTTAAGATTTTAAAAAGAGAGCACATAATAATATTTTAAAAGGCGAGTCCCTATAAATATTTCTAACATCAGGTTTGAATTTAAATATGTATAAAATGAAGCACAGACTTCTCTCCAGCAACTACAGGTGAGCCACACTACTTTTTCCCATAAAGCTGGAAACAAAATGAGAATGCGAGTCCATACACCTAATGCTCATCTATGAAAGGACTCAGCAGCCTACAAGGGGACAAACTCTGAACCCCACGTGGTATGGGCAGCAAACAGGAGCCCAAACGTGGCACAGGGCAGGAGTTCCCAGGCTGGCAGCACCCACAGTGCCCAGAGCTCACCACAGAGCAGAAGACATGGTCTGGGTGTCCTGGCTCCCAAAAAGGTGCTGCTGGGGTAGAAAAAAGCTGGAAAAGCTAGCTGCTAAGGCTTCAGTGCAGCTTGGGGTGCTTGGCGAGCGATGGGAGCCTCAGCTCTGCAGAGCACTGGGAGGTGAGATGAAGCACACTGCACCTGGCAGTGGGGCTATAGCCGGGGCTCAGTGCCATCATGGCAAACAGGAAACAACAGCAAGAGCTCAGATATGGGGCTGCTGAGAAAGAAAAGGGGAAGCAAGGAGGCCCAGGAAATCTGAAACCGCCTTCTTTCCATGAGCATATGACCACAGGGGTCTTATCTTGGTGCAGGAACCTCAAGATGTGGCCGCAGAGCATGCTGTGCCGCATACCTCCCCATGAATACAGCTTCCAAACAGCTTTCATGTTACACATGGATAAAGTTTTGCATAACTCCTCTGTGCCCTCACCATCACTGCTTGAACTTGCAGAAGCTGTCAACAGTCAAGACAATTGCCCAGAAGAGCCTGGAGGTCCCACACACACCTGCCCCACAGGCAAGAAAGCAAATCCACTGGGACTGACTCCAGGTGCAGACTTAATGACGCCACAAAGCGCAGAAGGAGCTTTCCATGAAGACCAGGGCTGGTGAAAAGTTCACTGTGAGCAGGACAAAGCCCTAATACCGTCAGTCACACCCAGCATCTCCCGTGGGATGTGAGCAACGCACCCGCTGTGCACACTCGCGTCCAGCCCCCTTCCCCTGCAGCTGCCCCATGCAGGGCACCAGCCACTGGTGCCCCCCCACACACAGCGGGGATAGAAGAGGAGGGCAGGACCATGGGGCAAAAATCCAGCTTTCAGAACGAACGTTATCACGTGCCCCTGCGGACACAGGCGGTACAGGTATTCCTGCTGGTGATACGGCAAGAGCTGTACCCTGCATCCTGCCCCTCCAGCCCAGGCGCAGTGGGATCCAGTCCTGGATCTTCTGGGATTGGGGAGAATCCTGTGTTGGAAAGTTTTTCATATGGCCAATTTCAGGGAAGGCTTGCACTGGAAAATCAAGATCCATTTAAAAAAAACAACAAACCGCCCTACAAACTTAAAAAAATAAAACAGTCTTTCTGATTTTATCCCTGTTGTTTTTCCATCTCCTGAGTGGCTCTCCTTCCTTCCTCATTTCCCAGGCCATTTTTCTTTTTTTTTAGATAGTCTTTTTCATCCTAAACCAGAAGTATTCAGCACCTCTTTTGAAACCTTTCCTTTTTCTAGAAAGTCTCTCCCCAGCAGGGGGGAAAACTATCGCAGTAAATCAACCAGCAACAGGTATCTGTAGCAAAATGCAACTGAACTCACAGACACAGGTAACCACAGAAAAATCTATTAACACAGCTCCAACTTGCAAATCGACTCCACAGACAGACGAGCCCCCCCTCTTCACTGCACAGATACCTATATACCTATAGTCTATAACTGCAGTGCACATCTGAATGGAGTTCAGAGACAACAATTGGAAAAAATGGATCTCCAAGATCAGATATTTACAGACCACACAAAAGCAGAAACAGAAAAAAAATCAACTGCTACGGAAACTGAAACTACAAAAATCTTCTAAAGATTTCACAGGACTGAAAAAGCGAGCTGCCTGGGCTTGAAATACCCTGTGAAAATTCATCGGAGTCCAGAGCACATTTTCTACTAGGACAGAAGTGCTGTATCAGATCCACACTGTTCGAACAGGGACACATTTCAACATACCTCCACAAAAGGCTCCTCCTGGTCAGGTCTGGCACAGTAAAGAATTTGAATATTCAAAGGCATTTGTTTCCCTTTCATCATCTACCCCTTTATTTTGCAGTATGCACTACACTTCCCTGCTGTGGTGGCAAGAGCTCTTGCCCACACACACACCAGACAGCTACTGCCCATGGCACGTGGTGATAAAATTGCTTATAAGCTCCTCTACAATCCTAGTTTCTGTTTCCCCGCTAGTGAGAGTGAAACTGTCACAGTAATCATGCCCAAATTTGGACTTCCAATAGAGATTTCCTGGCAGACCTACTTTAAATTTGTAAAGCCTGAATGTATTACCAATAAAAGAGACACTCCCTTAGAAGTCTTTTCCAACTAATTCTTCTCCCAATACGTATTTAAGCAAAATAATGAGAGACAAGTTCCCAGTGCAGCCAGGTCTCTTGCACCTCCGTTCTTCAGATCACCGGCACTCCTCCTTCATTTTGGTTTTATGAAAATGGCATGCAAATGACAACTGAACAGTGAAATATAGTGAAATACATGACTGCACTCAGCTCTGAGCAAAACAAGGAATGAAGACTTTTTTTCTTAATCTTGTACTTTACAAAGCACCAAACCATTAAGAAACTACAAAACTGTAAAAATAAAAGCTACTTGGGATTCCAGGAAAACTTGCTACATTTCAAATGACAAGATTCCACCTTCCCAAGCTTTGCTTTGAACAGGACAACATACTTTAAAGATAAAAATGCTTAACACCCCCCAAAACAGAGGGCAGTAGGATTTTTAAAGCAAGTTTATATTTAAGACAAATAATCAGATCGCTTTTTAAATCACCATCAAGGTATTTCCCACTTAGGGATTTATTTGTTTTTTTAATTTATTCCATATCTTTAACACAGCAAGTGTTGCAGCATAATAGCTATCATTAAAAAATGTGTGCAAGCTTATCTCCCTAGGAAACTGGGCTTTGTATGCACAAGAGACAGACAGATAAACACAGGCATGCCAAGTAGTTAAAACAGATTGCAAAACCCCCATATGAAAAAGCCAAAGTCCGAGGATAAAACTTATACATCTTACAACCAATATTCAAACAGTATTGCTGGCTGCACCTGAGAACCAAGGGTCTGGCACATCACCACATACTAATCCATTTCAGCCAGCACGCAGGAGCCTGTGTGAGTATTTACATGCACATATACATTTTGGAGATTTTTTTCTGTAGCAGATAAATACCACACTGATTTAGAAACACTGACAACATACACCTGTATAGTTTTGCAAAAGGCTAGCATCACATAACCAAAATGTTTACGCAACTTCTGCTGGTTGCACACCAGAGAGCTCCCAGTTGTTTGCCTGTTCTTTCCAGGGAGAGAAGAAAGGAGAACTGAAGGAATATGAGCACATTTGTGAGAGAGATACAAGCCCTGAGGGGTCTTCTACATGAAGCAGCAAGTGTTATAAAGAAACACCATAAAAATCATCAAAAGAGCAAGTGCGGAGATTCTTAACAGAGGATGCACACTTGATGTGCACATGCTTCATAAGCAAAGGCAGAAAGCGCTCACCTCCCAGCTTTTAGTAGTGGGCTCACTGAAGAAGTTGTCTATCATGTCAAGCTCCTCCTTTTCTACCACGACAAAACCTTGCTCTTTGGCATCTTTCCCGTATATTTCTGGTGACCACTGAACAAAAAACGTGTACAAGTGATCCACCCTGCAAACAGAAGAGGTGACAACCATGATCCAGTGGTCCAATGAACACAGCACTGTCACGTAGTACAGAAGTTTTGGCCAAGGACAAAGAAGGGACAACCACACAAAAAGGATACCTGTGCACTTCCACCCCCACACAAAGCAATAGCTCCCTCCACCTGGCAGCCTGAAGTACTTCAAGGTTTCTCTGCTTTCACTCCCCACAATGTATTTTTCTCCTCCCTTTGCTATACACACAGCCAAAGCATCATGGTAAAACTCAGTGGCTTGCCCAGTCCCACACAATTAATATTAAGAAGTCAAATTGATTGCTTTAGGTCATACTCACAAAAGTTAAGTCCATAAAAAACTCATTTTACTGATTTAGTCTGACCTACTGCATAAAACAATCCATAAGAAGGAAGTTTACATAACATTTCTAGCTGCCCTCTAAAAGTTAGAGACATGAAACAATTCTTCATTCTGTTAGCATCATGAAAATGAGGAGTCACCGACAGCTTTGCTACTGATATAGTACCAGCAGTGTATGCACTTCCATAAATGTGGCCAGCTCTCAATCACTGTCTTGAAACAGATGTTTTTTGACCACATCCATAACAAACAGTGAAACAATTTCTAAGGAAGGAATTTATGTAGTATATTAAAATTAAAATGAGCACATGCAATTGCAAACAGGAATACGATAGTGGATCCACTATACAAGTTGAATTGCCAGTAAAAAAAAAAATAAAAAAAAAACCCTAAATGAAGAGGGCAGATAGAAAGATAGTAAGTACTTATAACATAGGATCTTTCTCTTAGTTATTCACCAGTACGTTTTGTTTGGCAATTCCTTGATCTATACAAAACAAGAAAAATCTTAGAGAAATTCAGACATTTTCCCCCTGTATTTCAAGTTAGTTGGATTTATGTATACGCACAAATAATCTTAAAGTGCTATTTCAGCACTGTTGGATTCTGTTCAGAATCACTGATATAATTTCAGAGATTTTTCCAGTTGTACCTGTAAAACATTTGAGATATATATATATGTAACTAAATACAGTCGCAGCACAATTGTTGTAAATTGGTGAACACCCAACACTCGTTCCTGAGGCATCAGCAGCCTCCCTTCATCAAGAACAAGCAAAGTAGTTAACGTTGATATCAAAGTAAAAACTTTAGCTGCTGATCATTCCTCTGCAGCAACACACACACAGAAGAGATCAAGGCAGTACAGTACAAACTCTCCGTCTTTGGGACAGTTCTTGCCAATAATTGCCTTGAAAAGGCTAAGAGGGTCACACTCTCCTTGCCAAGGTTTCCCCCTTATCTGTGAGAAGCCATGTGATTTCTTACAAGTTTGCATAGATCTAAAAACTGAACTATGGAAGCCACTTCTAAAAGCGATATCATCTAGTTTTAGTCAAGACCTTTTCCTCTAATTGCAGTTGTTTTCCCACATCAATGGGTGCCACTCAGTTTCCCTGTGCCTCTTCACTTCATCCCAGGGCTTCCGAAAGAGCAGTACGAGCATCGCTTTGTAACTCATATGTGTTTTAACTGAAAGAGACATTTAACTTGAGCACTGTGTATTTTATGTGCAGCAGTACTAGTCTGGAAAGCTAACTACGTAATTCCTACAGATCTGTGTAAGAAAATAAAACCAGTGGTTGCTCCTGTCCGGCTAAGATCAGTTTGAGAATATGTTCATGCAGGCAGGTGGAGGAGAGCAGCACACTCATCTCAGAACCACAGAACATATTTAGGATATAAGGCACCCCTGGAGGTCATCGAGTCCAGCTTCTGTTTATAGCAGAGCTAACTTCAAAGTTAAAGGAGGCTGCATAGTGTTGTTCATTTGCAGTTGTGAAAATCTTCAACGGAGTTTCTACAGCTCCTCCATGCAACCTCTTCCATCCATAACCAGTCTCATTTTTTCCTTCTCTTCTATCTAAACACAATTTCCCCTAGTGCATGCCGCATGTGATCTGAGAAGGGTCTGGCGCCATCCTACTTTTCTCTCCCCTGCCCCTCTTTTTAACCATATGTCCAAAAGGAAGAGATGAATAACTACCACCCAAGCTGTTGGCTATGTTCTTCCTTACATGGTCCAGCAAGAAGTGAAGCCCTCATTACTACGGTGAGTTTGCTCTCAACTTCCCTGCTGCTCAACGTTTCTGTCAGCCAATTCCTCTGTTGAGGTCCCTCTGGTATATTCTGTCCCAATGTCCACATTGCTGATGAAGGCATTAAACAGTGTCAATCCCCAAGGACCACCACTTGTACCTAGATGCCACTCAGACCAGCTGTCAACACTTTGAGCCCAATGGTATGGTCAGTTTTTCACCCACCTGGTAGTCTACCTCTCCAGGTCACATCTCTCCAATAGGGACACTATGGGAGATTCTGCTGAAAGCCTTACTAAGGTCGTGGTAAAACAACAATCCCTTGCTGTCTCCTTGTTCACAGAGCTAGCCATCTTAAACATAAAAGCTATTGGGTTGGTAGAAAAACAATTTGCCCTTGATCAATCTGTAATAACTGTTCCTGGTCACTTCTTGCCCTCCATGTGCCTGGAAATGGCATCTGTAAGGCCTTGCTTCATAATCTTCATAGGGGCTGTGGTGAAGCTGACTGCCCTGTACTTCTACATATCCTCCTCAATTTCTTCTGAAGATGGAAAGACAAATGCTGCAACCAATTATTAAGGACCTCTTCCAATGATCATAACCTTTCACAGGATGATAGAAAGGAGCCTTGCAATAACAACCAACTTCCTCAGTACGCTCAGAGTATTTCCTGTCAGGCCCCACAGACTCATATATGCTCAGTTTATCTGAGCAGTCCATAACTAAGCTTTCCTGTATGTGGACAGATGCTAAATAAATTCAGATGCTCCAGATTTAAGGAGCAGAAGCATAAAATCAGAAATAGGTGTCTGCAGAAGTGAAGTCATTCTGAAAGGGGATGCAGAGCATCCCTTCTCTGTTGATGTTACAACATTATGCTATGGTGATATTTCCAAGCTACCAAACTGAAAAAAAATGAGATAATTTTTAAATTGAAAAAACACTGCTTGAAGAACTCTTTTACAGCCAACTTGACAGCTGCAAGGAAATTTATCCTAGAACTCAACAGCCATTTTGGTGATCATATGCTTATGAGTGTGTCATGCACTGACAGAGAAACATCAATAACACATAAAGTACTCGGAAAGGAACAACTTCAGAAACCTGAAGTTAATCACTCCAGAAAGAAAGAAATTATTCAAAAGGAAAAGATGACAACAGGAAACATTTAAAACAAAAACTAACATCAAAACAAAAAAAAACCCCAAACAAACAAAACCAAAAAACCAACCTAGGGGACACAAGTCAAAAATGAAAGATGGAACACGGATTAGAGAGGGAAGTGCCCCCAGCTGTAGCCAGATTAAAAGGAAAGTGAATATTCTTACAAAAATGATCATAGTAACACACAGAGGGCACAAATCGAATGTAAAAAGAAAAGTTTAAAGTGAAGCTATAAATTTAGTAGAAAACTAATTTTGGAGAGTACAAAACATAAAGATCATGACAGCAAAGTGATAAAATTAGTGTAAGACAAAAGCTTGGCATTATGTTACTGCATCGCTTGGTAAACTGGGCACATGTGAATGCATCCGAACAGAAGAGCACACACTGAAGAACATCAGGCAGAAGCTGCGCTTGCAGGATGGTACCTCACCTTTGACATAAGGACCCTAGAGACCTGAGATCTGAATTCTGGAGCAAGAGCTCTGCATCAGCACACTGATGACAACACTTGCTGCGATCCGTGAATGTACTGAGAAAGTAACATTCAGCAGAAGGAATAAGACTGGTTTTTAAGTTTGGTGTTTGACACTTTTGTGACCGCTGCTGGAATAGTCTGCCCAGCTTCAGTGCAGCATTCCCAAGTCATGCTCAAGTGTTGCAGCTCAGAGATGCAAAACCAACTGGCATACAGCAAGAGGTAAAAAAGAGCTGTTCAGCTTACAGGAGCGATACCCTGTGATAGCCTACATTAAGAGGAACTGAATCTTGGTAATAGACACCACCACAGCCAGGGACTGGAAGTCAGAAAGATTAAAGCAGGTATAGAGTCCACTGAAAAAGAGCAAAGGCAATTATCAATAAAACACACCAGACTACTTGTCAAGTTGCAGCTAACTCTTGAGGAGGAACCATAAATTATTTTTCTTCTAAAAGATATACTTTACTTTAGGAGGTCCCAAACGGACATCATCACCACCACTATTCCTG